AGCAACTATAGGCCAACTACCTGCTTACCAACAACTTTCAGATTGTTAACTGGTGTGGTAGCTGATGCAGTCCAAAAGCATCTGGTTGAAAACCAGCTCTTTCCATCTGAGCAGAAAGGAAACTGCCCAAACAGCAGAGGAACAAAATATCAGCTCCTAATTGACAAGTTGATTCTGGAAAACTGCAAGAGAAGGAAGACCTACTGCAATGTAGCTTAGATTGATTACAAGAAGGCATATGACTCCCCACCACATGATTGAATAAGCAAGGGCCTAGAAATAACAGGAGTCAGTAGAAACATCAGAAGCTTTATGCAAAGATCAGTGGCACAATGTTCACTTGCTACTGAAGGGAAATTACAAAGGGTTTGTAGTTATGGGCTCCTAGGAGAAACTGGATAGATATTGTTGGAACTTGTTAATAAAATTAATAAGATTAACAAGTCTTCTGTGATCTAGAAATGTTTGAGAAGTTGATTTTGCAACTCTAATAATGGTGTAGCAGTTATAGTGCTGGATTAGGATCAATTATATCCAGTTTTTGGAATCATCTTCAGCCATGAAAGCTTCTTAGATGACTTTGGGTCAGTTACTCTCTCTTAGCTCAGCCTACTTCATAGGGCTGCTGTTTGGGAAAATATTAGAGAAGGCTATACTCTGCATCATGGCTTGGGTTCCAAAAGGTTAATTAGGTTATGAAATGATGGATGAAAATGTGGATGTGAATGAAATATAAACAGCCCAAGCTTCCTAAATGAATGTGCCCATCAAAAGTTAGTTATCCACAAACTTTCACAGCTCCCAAAAGTTTCACTGTAGGTCTTTGCTCATAAAACATTCCATTGGGTATGCACACATTCCAGATGGAAACAGATCAGAATGGACCTATATGAGTGAACATATTGTGGAATTAAAATAGATTAACTTATTCCAAATCTGATCAAGCAGGAGTTTTTAAATATACTTCTACCATATTCTCTTTTTCTTTCCTTTCTAAATAAATTACTTAAATACAGTCCTCTGTGGTGCTGCACTAATCATTGTTATAGGTGGAGACTAATGTAGAATCATATTTAAACATGGAATAGATTTTTAAGTTTCTTTTACAAGAAAAGGACATAAAGTTTGACACTGATTTTTTAAATATGAGTACCAATGAAAAAGAATGACTGTCTTACTATAAGTCTGTTAGAGCTTGTACAAAATTACAGGAAATGGTATAAAAGAAAAAAAGAGGACATGCCTCTCTAGAATTCATTATGTAATGAATAGTAATATTTCTGAAAAGTGAAAGCACAACTTATGCCAGAGATAAATGCAGATGATAGCTGTAGATAGCTATCTATTACAGTGGATTCAAATTCTGCCATGTGCAAATATCAGTAGGGTCATCACAAGCTGTTTGAGTTTCATCTGGCTGGCCAGGCCTCTTAGATATATACTTGGTCCCATTACTATCTTGTAAATGGTTGCATTCCAGGTGAGTTACTGGTAGGCATGTAAATCTCTCTTGCTTGGTCAGCAAATCACCTGGAAATAACCACTCAGTAATTCACTTGGAATGGGAAAGAAATCTGTATCATCCTATCTCTCAGCCTAGTGTTTCCCCAGATGTCCATCAATATTTTCATTTATGCTATTGGTTGTATAATAAATCTTCATTTGCTTCTTTCTCCTTCTATTTACATAGGAACTGGTGTGCCTATGTTCACACAAGGCTTCAGCCCACCATAGTGGTTGACAATGTACAAACCTATGCATCAGGGAGAGCCAAGCCATGCACTTGGGTTACTGGAACCTGTGGATCAAGGTATGTAATACGGGTTATATCACTGAGATGCTTTTTAAATTATAGGCAGATACGTTAATGAAGAAAGAGACTGTGGAAACCACTCAGAAATATTCCATCCTCCTCCTTTTCTTAGCAATTAAGCAAAAAATCTATTGGAAGAGAGGAGCTGGGATATACAGAATACTCCAGCCAAGGATCAGATAAAGGAAGGGACTATTAAATGGTGTTTTTGGTGGAAATGCTGGAAGGATTAAAGTTTTCTTAGTGGTGGAACCCAGAATACAGTTATATACCAATCCTTTGCCTAATTCTGGCAAAATTGTTTATACGAACTGGCAAAAGCTATCCAGAATTTTGCAGCTGGAAGCTTCACCAACCCTAGCTTGAGATGCTGAGGACTGAACTTTGGAATTCTGCACAAAAAGTGCATAGTCTTTCCTATTCTTATACAAAGGAAGTAATATCTTTAAGTTCATAATTATGAGTTCACAGCTTGTTTTTACCAATTCATTACGAGCCAAGTTCCATTTCTCCAAGGTATATGCCATTGGCTTCTACTAGATAATTTAATTTCAGATGAAGAATGGATCCCCCAAAACACATAAACTGATTTTGTATTGTTATATTGGGAGATACAGGAATTTGTTCTACTGGACTGAAATGAAATGAAATAATTACAATTTCACTTAACTTCTGGTGGATTCATCCAGAAGTCTTCCTTGTTGGTCAAATAGGAGAACACTTCTGGACTAAGCAATCAATCAATGATATCAATGCAACATGATCTTAAACCAGTAATCATAAGGTTAGCCAACTGGTACAGGAAGTTAGACTGTCATAGTCAGGCAGATCTTCTTTATCAAGCTATGTTCGCTCTTTATCTGTGGAATGTCTGTGGCACATTTGCCAGGGTCTGGGAAGAAATCTGATCAGTTAAGAGGGGAAGGTGTACATCTTGTCAATCACTCCAAGCGACAAACCTCAGTTTAGACCTACCTAGAAAAGGTGGTAAACCCTAGCCAGAATAATATGACTGCCTTTGATGAAGAGAATGAATTAAACTAAATGAACTATTAAATGGATGTAAGATTTTGTCCTGTATTTACCCTCCTCTATTGAATATTGCCACGTGCTGCTTTCTTGCCCTGTCAATGGGTATTTCTTGTCTAAAAAAGTAATTCTTTTGCTATGCTTTGCTTAATAAACCCTTTCAGCTTTTATCATATGTGTTTATGGCTTTTGACTCCACAAACTGCTGCCCACATTTCAGTGTGGCCAGCCAGGATGTCTGTGAGTATGTGTGTGTTAGAAAAGGTAACTCGAGCATGAAGTTGTGTAACACGATTACGTTATGTAACACCTATAGGTGAAGTCTGCTTTCAAACAAGACTGAATTCTCTTCTAGTTCTGCCATGGGCTAAGACAAGATTGTGTGTGGCTCACCTTTGGGATGGCTGGTTGACAAATGCAATGAGACTCTGTAGGCATCCATAGTCAATGAGTTTTCAGCTCCTCAGAATTTCATCTATTTTTCATCCAGCTCCTGAACGCTAATCTAAACTGACAAGCTTTTCTGGACTAAGAAAGCTTGTAAATATCAAGTCAGATCTAAACAGAACAGAGGGGTGTTCACCTCATCTGTGTTCAGAAGTGATATAATTTTTGCTGTCTAGGTTATTTGTGGTACCCAGGCTACATATTGGCAACTCATGATTAAGGATGCTTTGGTAGCTGAACTTTGTGCATACAGATATGAACTGCCAATTTTGTTATTCATAAGCTTTTGTTATTCATTCAGGAAGCTGGTTATTTATGAGCTTTTGCACTTCCTAAATGTTCCCCAACAACTCTCAAATCAAGTTTTTTTGTAAAAAAGTCTATTTTGAAAGAAAAGACGTTTTGAAAGGGGATACATTTAAGTAATAATTCTCACACGTTAAAAGATAAAACTCAGGGTAAAGCATAAATGAGGCAGAAGAGACTTAAGAAAAAAACATATAGAAGTCGAGAAACAAATGGATTTGCCTACCTCTACCTATGTTTTAGGATGTTGGATTTTTAAGATTTCAACATCAGGGGGACTGAGATCAAAATTTTATTTCTTCTGTTTGGAGAATTTCCTGAAACGGAAACAGATGGTTATTTATTTGCTCCACCAAAGCATTAGTTAGTTACCTACTGAGATGAACACATCTAATACTTTCTAGGTTTTAAAGACTAAAACCTCCAGAGTCCTCACCCGGCATAACCTTTAGCTGAGAATTCTAAGAGTTGCAATGTAACGTTTCAAGCGGAGACCAGTTTGGGGAAAAGGTTGTTTTACTTCTACAAACGTGTGGATCCAGGTCCATTTTTCCTGGATTTTCCAGGACCTTCAAACCTGTTTGTTCCATTTTCCACTAGGTGGCAGGCTGGCATATCTATAACATATGATTGAAGTCTAGGAGCAATTTTTTTAAAAAATGTAGTCCATCTCCTTTCATAAAACTCAAAACCATTTCAATTTTCATATCTTTGTTGCTCTGTTGGAAATACCCTTCACCCAAGATCAACAGCAAATTTAATTACCTAGCCATTCAGCATTTGAAATATGCATGGATTTGTTTTCCCAAAGCTATTTCTGTTTTGAATCAGGTCTTAGTTTTAGCTCAGATATTCATGTAAGGAGCTGAAGACAATTGATTAACAATCCATGGCAATCCAAACACATTTCTTATTCTTAGATAACTGGATATATGTGAAAGGGATTTAAATGATGATCAGGGAAAACCTTCTGAAATGCTGAAGTGTATTGAGAACATGACTATTAGCATCAAAATGTGCCTTGAATTCATAACATTCTTTCTTTAACCAATATTAGCATTTTCTCCACCTCAGCATGCAATAATTTGTTTCACGATGGTCGTTCAAATTCTTACAAGATACAAATTCCATGGGAGACAAAGTGAACAATTAAACAGATTCTATACTCCAAAGAAAAACAAATAGGATATTAAAATGAGTTAATGAGCACAGTCTTACTTATGAGACTCATCTCTCTCCCCACCAAAGATCTGGGGAGGGCAGAGTGCAGTGAGCAGTTTAGGGATTTTGAAAACTTCACAATTTACTTGGGAGAGGGGCGAAGGTTATCCACAAAAGTATTTGTCCTTTGGGGCATGGCCAGAAGGTAAACTGGGGGGTTTGCTCTCTCTACCACTACATTTTCTCTTTTGTTATTTGGTGGGGAAGAAGTGGACCTTTGCTAGGAATGGTTATGGTGTCTTCTTGTAAAGAAATATAATGCCAAGAGTGATTCTTTGCTATACAGCAGTGTTGTCCAAACTTGGCCACTTTAAGATGAGTGGACTTCAACTCCCAGAAT